TACGACACTTACTAATTGTGCAAGAGCTTAAAATTTTTAAGTTAAGTTTATTTAAATGTTTATTTTGATTTAGAGGTTATTTTAGATATCGATGTTATTTTGCATGCATGTATATGTTTTAAACTTCAAATATAATTTTTCATTTTAGTTAGAACTTATGATTTGTGTTACAATCTTACGACCCTACACACACCTTGGTTTGTGTGTCCGTGTCAATGCCTATCCTTCTTTTATTTTTATAAAAGAAGAATTTCTTAAGGGATAAGAAAACTTGTATTATCAGTTGTCCTTTTTTAGTTCTTGAGTATTTCTTAACCTCAAATGAAGTTGTCTGTGCTTCATAGAAATAGCAGGGCATAGCTCATCAACTCCAATTGAAGTTCATAATATATGTCTAAATATTTCATGACTCCTTCATCCATTCAGTATCTTTTAATCACTGAGATAAGATTTACAAAAAACAACATCAACTAACCCTTAGTCCCACTAGATGGAATCGGCTACATGGGTCGAACGACATCTTAATATTTTATCATAAATTTTGTCCAATGACAAAATATTGATTTCTAAATCTCTCCTAACCATCCCGCCTATGAATTTTCTTAGCCTCCGTCAGCCTTTATAAATTACACTAACCTCCAATTGATCTACTCTTCTTAATGGGGCTTCTAATAGTCTCCTCCGTACATGCCCAAACCACCTAAGGCGCGATTATATCATCTCTTCTACAATAGGAGCAATCCAAACTTTCTCCCTAATGCATTCATGCCTAATCCTATCTTGTGAAATGTACCCACTCATCCAATGCAACATTCTCATCTCTACTACATTGAGCTTATTCTCTTGTTGACATTTTACCGTCCAACATTCAATCACATATAACATAAGATTTACAAAGAAGTCATTCTAAATTTTAAAATAGCTAGCAACAAAAGCACAAATTGATTAAAGCAGGGAGCAATCGGTCAATATGTCACTACTAACCTTCCACTAATCTGGGGTGGAACTAGCAACCCACCAGAAGTGTCTGGAACATTCCTTGAGTGAGGGCGATTTCCTCTAGGAACTTTACTACGAACAGATGAAGAAGCCATTCCAGTAGAGTCTCTCTTACGTAAAGCATTTTCTGCTAGAGCCGCAGCAACGCGAGAGGAGTGGTCACTAGCATTCATCAGATTAGAAGAGAACGCAGGTGAATTAAAAAGAAGTGAAGCATCGGGAAGTTTCTCTGCTGAAGGCAGAGATGAATGTGGTTTTTTCCCTGGATGCTGGTCCATCGAAGATTCAGATTTAGTCCTACAAGTTGAAAATGCATAAATATAGAGTGTAGAGAACAATGTTTTTTAAGAAAGGTGAAACGCTACCATAGTTCATGACTTAATGTTGAGTTGACACTTAGTAAGAACATATACATTTTTCAGCTTTATCCTTTTTGGTCCTTCTTTCTTCCTTTTGTCCTTTTCAGGATAAGGCAGAGTTTTTATGCAATGTGGCTAAGTGATGCAAGTATGACGGCCCACCTTTATACATGTTACATAAAAATTATGAAAAGGGTCTTCTATCACATATTTTTAATAAGAGAACTAAACCTTATTAAAATGAGATACATGGATACCAATATCAATGACTTTTCTTGCAGAAAATCTTCAAAAAAGCAACTCCAGTTTCAGAACTTACCATTCAACTAGTTAAAGATGTTAGTTAATGAGCAAACATTTACTGACTCAATTACCACTTGAGTTGTTAAAGGCTCGTCAGCTCAGTTGATAGATTTGCGGCATATTAAGTGTGAGTGCCTTAGTTCAAACCCTGACAGCTAAACTCTCCCTCCCCTGTTAAAAAATATTTTGCCTATAAAAAAGGGGAGGGATTCACTTACTCTTGGAGTAAGTGGAAAAGGACTTACTCCACATCTTAATCATCCAATCTTGGAAAATCCAATGGTTTAACATCTTAATCATCCAATCTTGGAAAATCCAATGGTAGGAGTAAGTCATTTTTTACTTACTCCAAGGGTAGGTGGATCCCTCCTCATAAAAAAAGAGATAAGCTAAAAAGACATAAACTGTGGTGACTTCTAGCATCAAACTCCTAGCAGGTACACACCAGAGGCCTCCTCACAAAACAAATTCTCCATCTTCCTTCTACGAAATTTGACCAATTACAACAATAAGTTCAATTTTTCAGAGAAAACCCATAACTCACAAATTATGAGCAAAATGTTCCAAGCTAGGATACTGTGCAAGAGCTTAATCTGCTCTTCATTTCTAGGGAGGAGGAACAGGGGAACTGAGAAAGAAAATATACAAAGGAATAAAAGAAAGGCTGAATAAACAAAAAGACACTAGTTACATTCCCGAAGTCCTAGCGAAGTTTCCTAGGCCGATATTTTACAAAAATTTTCAGAGGAAACACACATTGAATTTTTATGAAGGAAATTCAACATTTTTATAAAGGAAATTTTAACAAGGATCAGCTCTCCCACCCACTCTTCTTTGCTAAATTTTGGATTAAATCAAGCCATATATTCACACATTGAACTTTTATTGTAAGACTTCTGATTAGTTTGCAGCTCTTGTAAATCAATCACTACCTTCATCTAGGCTAGTCTAGGGTGCAAGTGCACAACATTGTTTTAATAAATGAACAGTTTCAACTCTTACTGTACCATACAGTCATAGACTCTTCCGTCGAAGTAACCCTCGTATAGCATCAGAGAAAAGGAATGTAACAAAGTAAACAACATAAAATAAATCAGCTGTAAAGAGTTCTGCGACCTCTCTGAAAAGACACCAATGATAGAACCTTAAAGAAACCATAGGCCAGTAGTACAACAGAGCTAAGAAGAAAATTCAATCTCAGATAAGCTGAAAAGACATAAACCTTTGCGAATTGCAACGCTCATTCAAACATTAAACTCCAATCAAGTCCATCAAACACATACTTAAATTTTACACATATCACTAGTCACTACAAAGCTCTGCTCTCTCTCTCTTTTCTTTTACCAAAATTTGTAAACGATTCAGCAAGAAGTGATAAAAAAAATCAGGTAAAACCCATAACTCACAAAATGATGCTCACAAGTTTATCGAAGATATTTACACGGTGCCAAAGGAAAATCTCCTCATCATTTCTAGGGATTAGAAACCAATGAATCTAGAAAGAAACTTTAGTAAGGAATAAAAGAAGGATTAAGTAAAAACTAAAAAGTAAAAGACTAGTTATGTAACTATGTTCCATTAAAACTAACATTGTTTTGTTTTCAATTATCAATACATCACACTGAGAAAAACTATTAACCTATAAATCAATTGCTAAACTAAAAAAAAACTATCAAGTCGCAACCTATTTACAAGTGATTTGTGAGGAAGCGAATTTTGTGATAAAAGAAGAAAGAGAATGGGAGAATTACAGATTCCGAGGATGAGGAAGTGGTTGTGGTGCTGAATTGCGTTGAGGAAGTTGGCGTTCCTCCTCTTTGCGTTGTTCTTCAGTGGGTTCCGAAACGTCGTCGTCTGAAGAGGAAGCATAATCTACAAGCGACATCTCTCCGTCGTTGCCGGTCACCAAGTTCCGGTGGCTTCAACTACCTCTCAGCCGTTCACGGCGTTTTTGGGTCCTCGGGTTCGGTTACCTCGTGCTTGTTAGGATTGAGAAGTGATTTTTATGAGGGAATACCATTTTATCCCTCTACATTTGGAATTATACATCACTTCCTCAGTTAAAATAGTAATTTCCTTTGAGAAAGGGACTATCGTAGATGGTTACCTATTTTTTAAAAAGACCATGTTAATACGCAATTTTTAAGGGATCAAAGAGATATTTATTAATTACTCTAACATGTTTTGTAACTTAACAACCTTATCATTAATTATAAGAGTTGGGTTAACCAATTTTATATCTTGTAATTCTAGTATATCTCTTTCTATTTTCATTATACTTGTATATGTATACATCAATCACTATCAATAAAAGTAAGTGAAAATTTTATATCTGTATTTACAAATTCTCTCTTCACGTACCAATATTGTTGAGCTTTCATGCCCTTGCAAGCTTCTTAATATAGTCTTTGAGGTGGATGCAATCTTATAAATATTTATCTTTTTAGGTATAAATATAGACTTTTTAGTCTTTGTTGTATTGGGTTGACACACCTTGTCCTCATTTTAATACAATTTTTCTTTATAAAAAAAACTATTTTCATCAATGTTGAATGATTTTTTAAATTTGATTTTATTGAGTTTTTATTGAAAATCAGTTTTTAATTTTATGATTTTGATTTAAAAAGAATCACATTTTTTTATATTTATAAAACCCATATTTTTAAAGCTTTGATTTTGTACAAATGTTTTTTGTTCTTCTTACTAAGTAGTTATTTTAATAGGCATCTTATTTAATAATCCCTATATTTTTCATGATTTGATATTTACTAAGTGAGTTATTTTAATTGATATCATATTAGACTAATTACATTTCTTCATCCTTATTTTTCTATGTTGTCTTGTGGAGTTTCCCCACTCAAATAAAATTATTGTTTTTTCTTTACTAGCTACTTATTTCAATGCATCTTAAATTTTGGTTCAACTGGAATTTTAGAAATAAAGGCAAAGAATGACAATATAATTATTAATTTCCCCCCCATATATTCCAATTTTTTTAATATTATTTCAACTTTTACATAGCTCCTTATTTTATTTAGAAAAAAATCTATATTTTAGATTGTTTTTCTTTTATTCGGAAAATAAATATAAAAGAAAAGTTGAAGACCTAATTGTTTTTGTTTGTAGCATTTATTTATAAAGGAACATAATTTTGTTTTTTATCACTAAAAAATATTAAAAATATTATTTTTTATTTAAAAAAGAAAATTAAATAAGAGGAGGAAGTTTCTAGGCAATTGCATAAGGTGGGGCACAAATGATATTTCTCTTCACCCCTCTCTTATATTTAAGGAGTTGCATACCTCAACAATTACACACTATCAATAATTATACAACTCACCCATTTTTAAAAACCTAGGAGCTTCACTTTTCTCCTCTTTTCCTTATATATCTCTCTAATATCACATATCTTTCTCTCTTATGTCCCCACCTACCTCATTTTATTCTTGGCATCCATGCACACCACTCTTGATTTTTGTGCCCATAATAAACCTTCTTACTTTCTTTTTTGTTTGATTTATTTTTGAGCTTTTTGTCTTAGGTTATATTTCTTCTTCTTACTACTTTTCCTATTCTTGTTTTGTAGGTATATATGAGTGCATTTTCATGGAGCTTTATTATAAGTCTTCACCTCTTATTCCTTTAGTCCATCTAGATGGGACTATGTAGGATGAAGGATTAAAATCTTCTCATCATTGGATCTACTTTTGAATACTCTAAAAAATGGTATTTCCTAGTCTTTTACCTTGTACAATATATTGTGCAAAATATATTTTCACTAAACTTTTCACACGAAAACTTTAAAGATTTTTATTTCTATTAATTTTTAATATACTTTATTTTTACTTTTAAATTTTCATTTGTTCATTCAAATATTATCTTTTATTGATTTTATTCTTCTACAACTTCTCAGTTTTTAATTTTTATGTTGCCTTTGACTAGTAATAAATTAATATTATTTATTAATAAATTTAATAAAATATAAAATTAGTACTTTAGTATTTAAATATTTGAATATAATTATATATAATTACCTCAGTATTTAAACATTCTACATCATTAATCAATTCAAACCAAACACTGTTTTCACTCAAGATTTCGTGTCCTGTACCATTTAACATATCCCCAAAAGTGATAAAATAATGTAATATAATAATATAATAATATAATAATATATATCATCTCTAATTCTTAAAGCTTCTCAGGGAAGTTTAATTTTATGTTAAAATAAATCAAAGCACGTTAAAGTTTTTCTTCTCATTTTCCTCTCTACATCTACCATTCCAATATCTCAAAGTCCCTCAATATTCTTCGTTTTACACTCACATCACTCATTCAAATTTCCTCATTCACAAATTCATTTATGAAATCCTAGAGTAACACCCTCTTTTGGAAGGAGATAGTTATTGATGAATTTGTTAACCAAATATATGTTTTAGGGTAGAAGTCCATTTCTTTCATGAATTACTTATTATATGCACTATAGTGAGGATGACAAGCAAGAATCTAATGATCATGAAAAATATCTTCTAGAATATGGGTACTAGATTGATAAAAATAACTTGATTACCATACTCATTGTACATGAATATTATAGGTTGTACTTTTTTTTTTACACCATATTGCATAAGTTTAAAAATATTTTTCGTTAGTTTCTTCTTTGTTTTCTAATAGATTTTTTATCAATACATTAATAAATATCTACTTTAGCTGAGACAAAAAAAAATCTATACATTAACCTAAAGGAAAACATTGCTCTCACAACATTAGTCAACTCTACATTGAAAATTAATGTGTTTCATGTAATATTTTTTTGTGAATTGTCTTCACCAAAACTTCTACTAGAAACACATTCCTTCTCAATATGGAGTCGGTTAAAGTTTTGAAAGCTGCATTTTCTTTTAGGTGGATGTATAAATTTACTGTCACACCTAACATAGATAATAATATATTGATAAAAATCAATTAGAAAACAAAATAAAGAGAATGGTGGAGGGTCTTTCATTCTTTATTTTGTTTTCTATATATCTGTCCCTACTAACACCACTTTCTTTGACCTTATGAAGAAGCTTAGTGAAATGATCCTCAAGTACCAGCTGATCTTTGAAGATGTTGATGCTTTGCACATGAATGAAGAGAATGACTAACATGAAAATGAAGGAGCCCCATTGGTTCGGACTTTCCTGTTCCCTTCCAAGCCAGTTTTGATAGAGAATCATGCAGCAGCAACCCCCAAGTACTCAAAACATGCATACTCATTATTCAAACCAAAATTCAATCATCTTTTGTCTAAACTAGGAGTTGTCAGCATTCACTCTCTAACGTGAGGAAAATGTTGAAAATATTTTGGGTTAATAATGTATTGGACTAATAATTAATTTAAACTCATTTACCTTTTAGTTGATTAGTTAGTTTTAGTTGTTAGGTTAGTTAGTTTTCATTTCTTTTATATAAGACCTTCATTATAACTTTGAAATCTATTCAATTCAATATAATTAAATTCAATATAATTCATTAAATCAATGGAATACATAATCTTTTTTTTTGCTCTTTGATTTCTAATATGGTATCAATACCATATTAGAAATTAGAAATTAAATAGCAAGAAAATGATCGTGCAATTCACTCATTTTATGAATTTATTGAATTATATTGAATGAATTAATTACAAAGAAATTAACTAACATATTATATAGAAAATACAATGGAGAGAAATCTACATAAGTGCTAACTAACTTATCTATTTTACAGTTGTTTTAATCATGTTATGCAAAAGGTAAGTGAGTTTAAACTAATTACTAGCCCAATACAATATTAACCCAAAATACCAAAATATATTTTAACACCCCCTTAAGGTGGAGATTGGATGTTGACAACTCGTAATTTGGACAAAAGATAATTGAATAGAGAAAGCTTCAAAGCCTTTGGCTATAGGTCTGCATGTCTTTGTATTACTTGTCTCTCTATCCAGTTTGCTTTGTTCATCAATTACAACCAATACTCATGTAACTTAAGGATTACATAGAATGATATCCAAATAATTCTATTGAATAGAAGAAATTTAAAGAGATTGAAGAACTCTTCAAAATATAACACTTGACACTTGATATTATTGCTTAAGAATATCATCTTGGTTTCTTGGCCAAAGAATGAGAGAAATCTAGAATATGATGAAATATGAACAATATTTGTTCAAGAATAACAATGTTCAAGAATACTCTTGGTTTCTTGGTCAAATAATATGATGAAATATGATCAATTTTTCTCAAGAATAATATAATGAAAGATGAACAATATTTGACTTCAGAATATCAAGAAGAATGGAGAGAAATAGAGAATATGAAGATCGTAAAAGAGAATAATAAAGAAAACAACTAATCTTGCATTCAAATTTTCCTTGCCCTTAAATCGTTTGCATGACAACATAGCAACCACCTCCTTCTTGCCGATAATGAAATTGTAAAGCCATGGAACACAACACCACATCTTCTTAAGAGTGTAGAGAGATGAGATAGAGAATCTGAAATATAACGAAAAATAACTTCTCCCGGTGATGAACAAGAAAGGAAAATGTATGAGGAATATATATTACCATATTAGAAATCAAAGATCAAGAAAATGACTGTGTATTGATTGAATGGATTGACTACAAGTGAATTAATCAACCTATTATATAGAAAATAGAAGATACTTAACTCTACATATTTCTTTTACAAACGTTTGAATTATGTTATGTAAAACACAAGTGAGTTTAAAATAATTACTAGCACAATACAATATTAACACTAAATACCAAAATATTTTTCCACAAAATCAAAACTAATCAAATACACCCAAAGTATCTCCTAAAGTATTAAGTAGCCAAATAGCTATAATCCCATCATTAAGTTTAACACTAATGGTAAACAGCTGATCAAAACAACATTCAAATTCACTCAAGTGATCAGAAATATATGCATCCTTTACTATGAAAATTCATGGTTTACTTCAAACCCAATGCTTGAAATATCCAAAATATGGTTACTCGTACCAATTCTCGAATTTCCGAATATCATACAATCTGTTTACAATGTCAGTTCTCGAAATTCTCACAGTTCAGTTATCAGTGTCGATTCTAGTACAATGGAAACAAAGAGAAAAAAAGGAATCATAAGTGTTCCAGTAGAGAAGGAGAGAAGAAAAGTTGAGGAAATGCTCTCAATTGGTAAGAATTTTCTGAATGGGAGAATCATCTATTTACAAACGAAGATTCCCAACTGCCATGTCAATCTAACTTTCAAGAAAAAAGATTTCATCTCAAAATGACTAAAAAAAAAGAATATTGACAAAGGTAAAACCAACTTGTTTTTACTTAATAGCTTTTATTTAACATGAAATAGGATTTCTTTTTATCATTAAAAATATTAATTTTTGTTTGTTTTTTTATTTTTAAAAAAACCAACTAGGAGGGGGAGGTTCTAGCCAATTTCTTATGGTGGGGCACTAGGGAGATTTCTCCCCACCCCTCTCTTCTATTAAGGAGGTACCTAATAACTAGGGGTGAGCGTGAGATAGGTTAAGGCTTGTCCTTACCCGACTTAAATATTGTTCGGTCCATTTTTTTGAACTTGGACCTGACCCTGAACTCGGAGTTAATCTGCCCCTAAATATTCACAGGGTCAGCCTTTAAACCCGGATCCGACCCTAGACCCGATTAAATATAAGGTATACTTATTTTACATAAAGTCTTCTAAATATTATTTATTATTGTGAATATGTAATTTGACATATAAAATAATATATGTGTATATATATTATTAAACATGTATATATGATTAAACATTAGAGAATCAATGATATTTTCGACAAAAAAGTATCATTACTATGTATATATTTGAATAGATACACATAAAAACATCATGAGAATGTGAAAATGGGACGAGTCGGGACGAGTTCTGTTTGGTCCCTACTCGGCCCTAAATATTGATTGGGTCTAATTTTTGAACTCAAACTCAACCCTAAACCCAATGAGATCCGACCATTTTCAGGTCCGAACATGATCGGGTCATACTAGGTAAGCAAATAGAGTCGGGTCCTAGTCACCCTTACTAATAACTCATACAATCACGGTCATTTTAGCATTTCCAAAAACGTAGTTTCTCTTTCTTCTTCGCTTCTATTTCTATTTTCCTTATCCTTCTCTCTTCTGCTCCAACCTCGATAAGAGTGTCACCAAACACCCTTTGCCTTGGTTTTGTGCCCAAAATCAAACTTTTTCTATCCTATTTGTATTGTTTGAGTGCATTTCCATGTCTTAAAGCTTTATTATAAGCTTTCACCTCTTGTTCCTTTAGCCAACTTTCAAGAACTGAATTGTTCATTGAACTGTGAAATTACTTCACAAATCTGCTGCATGATACATATTTCATTACACTATAGAGTTGGCAAAATCTCATACTACACCATATTTCGTTAGAGTGTAATATCGATTTATATACAGTTACTACATCATTAACTATTCATTTATATTACTTTTAAAAAAAATCAATGTTCATTAAACATAAATGATGAATGATATAATGACAATGTATAAAACTCATACAATATTTTTCCCTTTTCCTCATTCATGTGATTCTTGATTGTCGTACTATCATGCATTTATAATAAGTAATTCATAAAAGAAATGGACTTCTACCCTAAAACATAAATTTGGTTAACAAATGAACTATGGTGCATATATAAGGAGATTGTTATTCATATATTTGTTAACCAAAATTAAGTTTTAGGGTTGAAGTCCATTTTTTAGCAAATACTTATTATATATGCACTATAGTAGGACAAATAAAAGTCCAATGATCACTAAAAATATGGGTACTAGGTTGGTAAAAACAATTCGACTACCACACCCATTCTAAATGAATTTTAATGGTTGTAAAAATTGTTAAACAATATTACATGAGTTTAAAAATCTCACAATATTTGTTTATAACTTTTTTTATTTTAAAATTGATTTTTATCAACATATTAATATCTACATTAGAGAGACAACAAATTCTATACAACACCAGAAAGAAAATGCACCTTTTAGGACTTTAGCCAACTCTGCAGTGAGAAGTAATTAATGAATTTCATGCAGTAGTTTTTATGAAGCAAATTATCCCTTGAAATATCTTTGAATTTGATTCATAAAAATTGTTACAAGAAACACATTTTATTTCTATGTAAAGTTGGCTAAATTTCCGAGATAGCTGCATTTTTTTCCCGGTGGTTGTATAGAATTTGTTGTCTCACCTGACATAGATATTAATGTATTGATAGTAATTAATTAAAAAAAGATAATTGAATGAATATCATATAATGTGATATTTTTAAACTTATATAATATGGTTTAGAAATTTGTTACCACCAAAAAATATAATCTAGAATGGGCATGGTAGTGTAGTTATTTTTACCCAGCTAGTACCCATATAGCCATAAGGTATTTTCCAGGGTCATCTCATTCTTGCTTGTGCCACTATAATGCATATATAATAAGTAATTCATAAAAGAAATGGACTTTTAACATAAAAAATTAGATTTGGTTAACAAATAAATACATCAATAACTATCAAAAGAAGACAATATATATTATAATGGGTGTCCTAATGATGTATGTGCTTATGTTATCTCATTACTAATATTTTGTGTGGCTTAAAGTATTAGCTAGTTTTAAAATAGGGAAGTCTAATTGCGATTTGGATCGCCCTCTTTGAAAATCTTAGTCATCTAATTTTAGAAAATTCAACTGTTTAGATGTATTCACCAATTTAAACCATTGGATTTCCTCATCCTCTCATTTATATTATTGGCATGAAGTAATAATAATGAGTTATAGAGCTAGAAACTCAAGACTATATATAAATTGGAGTTATGACATTTTAATGGAGTTATGATCCTCCCAATATCTTATGAATTTGATTTGAATCTTTTATACATTTATTTATAATTTGTGACTCTCTTGTACATTTATTACATATCTAATAATATTACATTTAATAATTAAGTATTATACTTTATTGAAGAGTATATCTGTGGGAGGAATAGATGGCCAACTAAGAGGGGGTGAATTAGTTGTTTTAAAAAATCACTATGAACTTTTCAGCTTTTTCTACTTAAGTGCAAATTAACAGAGTTGTAGCGGAAGAAAGTTTAGTAGAAGAAGAAGTGCATAAAACAAAAAGTGTAAGGATGAGAAAAATCACACCAGAAAATTATACTGGTTCACCTTCTACCACTGAAGGCTACGTCCAGTCCTCTTGAAAAACCACAAGAGATTTCCACTATTGAATGAGTTTAACTTACAAGCAAAGTCACACCTAGACTCCCCCTAAGTTGTATCACTCACT